GTTCAAATCTGTTCAATAGTTTGGAAGATATTCTTTGATCACTGCGAATTTCGGCCTGTTTCGCAATATACGCGTAATTCACGAATGAAGGTGACATTTAAAAATAATTCACGAGCTAAACATCACCGTTAGGTTCTGATGAATACGTGTTCCAAGTTTCAGAGATCTGCGTTTATTAGTTTGGGAGATATTATTTGATAATTGAATTTGGTGATTGCCTGATTGGTCGTGAGACCGGTCACGAGTCCGGCCGTAAATTCGCCGGCGACGTCCCAGGTTTCTTGAGCTGAAACAGTTAAAACAGCTAAAAAACATATTGGTTCACTAAATGGGGTTCTATTTGTGAAATACACATTTGTGTTTAACCTTTATCTTTTAAAATTGCAGCGTACTAAATTTCAAGAAAGAGGCGTATGTCTGTGGGGGGCGCTACAAATTCGCTAAGGAGCCAAAGGGGGCGCCAGCCTGAAAAAGTTTGAGAACCACTGCTTTAGCCCAACTGAGCCTCGTGGCGAAGCTCGTATAACATTATAACTGAATAGTTTTAAACAAAGGCCTAGTTTAAATTTAGATTTTAGGTCTAACCTCTTAAAATTATTAATAGATGGGTTTTACCGTTTAGTTTTTTTTTTGTAATCTTGACTGTATTAATAACTGGTTTACCTGTGTTCTCGAATTTTTGAACAGACGATTGGAGCCGGACTCCGAAACGTTTTCTATAAAGACAGAACACATTTCTGTGGAATTTTCTTTGCTTATATGTTTCTGGTGTATTTGTGATTCAAGCAAACTAGTGACATTATTAATAATGAAGATGTGTTGAGGAATTTTAGACTCATCTCCAGTATCACTTTAAAAAGAATGCTACCGATTAAACAGTATAATTATGCTCTGTGTAACGTACATAACCTCTCATTAATCAAAGCATCAAGAGTAGTATTTTTTCCTCGGCCAGATTTTATTTGAAAATTTATTTGGTTTACTTAGATAAGTATCCCAGATGAATATTCGAATGCTGAACAAAAGTAGACGTAGATTGCCTCTGTGAGCCACAACGTAGTTGAAGTTTATAATCTCTAGTATTTTTAACCATTTGTCGACAGATGACATTAATAGTTGCTAGGCATTTGAGGACGATCGTTTATATACGAGTTTGGTGAGAAAGTCTTACTCTGCAAAATCACGCCTGAGAAAACTTTTGCTTAGTTATCTTCTTATATCGTAGCAAAAAATAGAGTGCGATATTTAACCTCTTAATTTACGGCAGTCCATTGAACAGATCTTTACACTAAATACAATTTTGACTTTCCTCAATTTGAGACAGAGGAAAAGAAAAAAAAGCATTACATTAATTTTTCTATACTTCACGAATCGCATCACTCCTAGTTACACATGGATATAGACGTGACATGTTAGTTATTTTATTGCAGGTTAAAACTGAACACTGAGGGTTTTCTAAAAACGACACTTGCATTGGGATAGTTGACGAGGTGTCTGCTTAATGTGTAACTCACATTAAGGGCATGACCAAATAAGTGCTGCAGAGAAAGTAGACAGAGGGTTCCTCATGCAACACCCAATTCTCCCATCGCTGGGGGAATTGAGCCCCGGGTGATGCATTAGGAGGCCGCCACTACTGAAGGAGTTGGGGCGTTCGTCCAGAGTGCGGTGCCCTTGCCCAGAGGGGCAAGGAGCATCACACACGAGTCCAGCCCCAAAACGAACATCAAAAAAGGAGAGCAAAGATCACATACGTCATCGATTATCTGCATCATTATTTCAATCGAACAATGAGAAACTGCAATTTTACCGAAAGACTAATACAAGATTTAATAATTCATTACAACGTCTCAAAATATGTCATCAGAATCCTTATCACTGAAGCGCATGAATGTCATCTGTGATTCACCTATCATGTCATTACGTAATTTAAACCTCATCACTATTAATATTGCTCTAGAAAATCTAATATAATTCCGAAATCATTAACTTTTTAACAACGTAAGAGATTCACAGTGTCAGATATTAATATTTTCTTCATAATAAATTACTTTATCGATGTCGTAATATATTGTGATCAACAGAATGAGGATGGCGTTAGCAGGCGGTGAAGGGAGGGGAAAATGCAAGCAGGTTACATCTACAGGACTAATACCAAAGGGAACATTGGTGTAGAAAGAGTAAATGCTGCACGTTTAATATACTTTGACACGTGATATGCTCTTACACCCTCCACATATTAAGTAGGAATCAAAGTAATAACAATGCCTGACGACAACCTTTGACAAACTTTACTAAAGCTGCAATTCACCCGAGTTTTGGCGATTGAAGTAAATTGACACAGATGGAAAAATTGCAAAAAAAACATAAATTTAGCAGTGCCTGAATAAAAATTGCAGCGATTAATAAACTTGTTTCATATTTTCATTCCAGCTGAAATTTAATTAATGAATGAGCATACAATTTCGGGCTTTCATTCTTTCAAAGTCAAATGCTAATTGCGCTATAAAATTTTTCAATATGGCAGAAATGCGTATAGGCATACCGCATCAACAGAATATGCTGCACGAACGTTTAAAACGATTCATTTTGTTGTTGGACAAAAAAGTCATGCGCTTACCGCTGACAATCAATCTAAAGTTCTTAGTGCATCTGAAAACAACTGTTAATTTTCGAGAAGAAAACAATACGAAACTCGTCAGACACATAACGACACTGTCAGAGGAAATGTGTATTGTGACATGAGATGTTGTGTATTTTGGCGATGATGTGAACAGACAGGCGTTCGCCAATGCCGACATAAGCTCCAATTGATGAGACAAAACTCATCAGAAGCTCGTGACACTCTTCCACTATTAGCACATATGTAGCGCTTTCAACGTAATCCTGCGGCATGACACGTGTAATACTGTTAAAAGTTCTTATTATGTTTTGTTAATAATATTTAATGTTACAAATACCTGTAAGGAATTTCTAAGTTTCTTCTCATTTTTGACTACTTCTCTCTGCCATCGGTAATCCATTGTAATTCGAATAGGGTAATTATTGAGAACGTGTGCTAGTGTAAGTGTGAGGGTGCGGTGGCTCCCAAGTCTTCTAGTCCAGTCCCTCTTTTTCCGATGCCTGACACCGCAACCCTGCTGCTGCTTAGGCGACACCATCACGGACTTCTCCTGCTACTACATCCTCCACACCGTCGCAGCCGCCCTCACTAGGATGGCTTTGACTCCTTAACCATAGAACAGAAATACAACATTCACCGAATAGGCTTACCAAGAGCAGGATAAAAGAACTTCGCGACGATAACGAGGGGATGAAAACCTTCTATTCTGGAACGAAATACACAAGAAAGCTCGTCTTCACCTATACAAAAGGCCTTTCCATTGTTATCTTTACGAGCACAGAGAAACAGAGTTTGAAACAACAATATCGACTTCATTATTTACAAATCAGGATGAAATATAAAGGAATAAAAATAAGGCCTAAGATGATCGCTAAATTGCAAGGTTGATCCCGAGGGTACATTCAGATGAAGCTTCAGTAACTCTATTTCACTTTTGACACGAAATTTACTGGGTATGATGAAATTTTAAAAGAACCAAAACAATATTAAGGATTGTCTCTTTTATTTAACCTAAATACCACTGATATATACATCCAGAACTATTGTGGTGTATACAGCCATTAAAACGAAATGAAGACAAACGGGCCATAGAGCCTTACTATACTGACAAGAACACAACCTCAGAAGCTGAATAGTACTAATTCTTAGTTCAACTAGAAACCAATCATTAAAGTACCACATTTTAATGAGATACCAGTAAGCGAGAGATAGAGAAAAATAAAACTATGCTATAGAAATGGGATACTTCGAAGTGATAAGTATAGCTCGATTTGATTACATTGCAGCGACTCAGAGTAACAGGATATGATCAACTGTCACTCATCCACATATTTGGCACCAAACTTGGATTCTTTAAGTCAGTTGACATCTTTGCAATCTTGAAGATAATGCAAAATCATAAACATCGACAGAAAAGCCGTGGAAGAAATACAACTCTTGAATTCGAAAGAGCTGTGGCAGGTATATAGAACGCTCCTCTAGTTCCGACATTATACATAGAATTTGCGAAGAAAACGTCATACATGGAATAAAAATCTTAAGAACTGATCAAAAAATCTTAGCAATATCTGCTTTACACTTTCTTCTGAGATCAAAGACAACTGCAAGTATAGCAAGTCTAAATCTCAAAATGTTTCAACTAAATTTATAACAAAATCCTGGACGCAAAACTCTGAATCAAATATATGTACAAATAGGATTTCTCCCAAACAAACGATTTACAATGACACGCATGGTTTAATCAGTGACTAGAACGTCGTACTAAGCAACCGGCTATTCTTTACGAAATTAATGACGAGTGAAATGCAGAGGCCAGCGTTAAAGTGCAGCGATAAATGAAGCTCAGAAATGCAGGGTCAGATCACCCTTGCGCACGGAGAAAATATCTCCCGTAGTAAATTTATCACCAGAATGTTCTAAATAAGTTAAGGTACACTCACATGAAGCGGCATCGTAGTAAACCAAGCTGATCTACTGGACAAACACTCACACTCTCACAGACACTCATGGGAACAACTCGATACAATTGGTGATCGTCGCCCCCTTGTTAGGCTTGTAGTAAAGGTTAGGCCATTGCGGTACCGAGCTGCTGGGGAGGTGCCTCAACGTCAGGCTGTCGCGCTCACGTACGCCCAATATCTCTAACATTTGTCTCAGCGTCGTCGCTCAACTCTTGCTTGCGTGTCCACCAATTATAATTAAAGGAAATTTCAATTTTTTTTATACGTAACATTAAGAAGTGAAAAATGTCATTATTTACCATCACTTCAACAATGGAGCCCTGCATTCAATTTAAGCTATGGCGATGAATATTTCTAGTGCCAAAAATTTCGCCAATATATATATAAATGTTTATATTTTGGCACTGATATATCTATATCGAAATACTCCATAAATATATATTTATTTATCATAATAATTTACGATAATACATAGCATAGCTGAAAAACGAAGTTCGAATCTTGTTAAAATAATTTATTGATGAACTTCGGAAACCTTACGCCTCTGTTGCTTCTGGTACACGAGCTTGATACTGCATAGCCTTGCTGCAGGCCACAGATACATGGCAAGTATTACAGCCTTAGCTTACGACAAGCATTCGAAGGCTGATCCTGCAGCAACACTCCAGATGATGCAAACAAATGTCGGTCTTTCGTAGCTCCCGGGTTCTGTTATAACTATTGAACCGACATACAGACTGAACGCGTATATATGCAGATGAAATTATAAATTAAACATTTAGCACGCGAGGAAAATACTTCCTCACCACACTTGAATGCGCCGTGGTCGTCGAAGACCGACCTATGGTGGAGCTTGCTGTTGGGAGCATACAATAGGTAAATGAAATAATAATACATTATTAGGGTAGGTAAAGATAGTTCTAGTACTCATCAGAGCATACGATTCGCCACTTGAGCCCATGACAATTGAGAGGACGAAGTGAAATTTGAGGCTTCGATTTTATTTAGAAGCATTTGTGATAGGCAGGAACACTGCAGTTAGCTTAGTCCAATTTTTTTGGAGCAAGAACGTATGCCTGGGTTTTCATCATACATTTACATCTACCCAACACTTTAGGTCTCGCAACAAAAAAGAATTTATGGTCAAACACTCTCATCCTTTATTTATATGTTTTCGAAAACATTATGTGGGTATGAATACAACAATGGTCTATTATTTAATGCAAAGAAAAATTGTTAAAACCATAGATTGGCACTGACATGTCAGAGGGAAAATAGCACGATTGAAATTAAAACTGTTCAAGAAATTAAGCATTCCATTTTCGTCATACTTTGTAGCTCGGAAAAGCCTTTCACGCATCATCGCGTTATGGAACTAATTTCCACCCAGTTTTGGCTCGATTGCATCCTCATATTAGAAAGAAATATGCGTCTGCTTTAGAAAAATAAGTTGAGTCATTGGTTCTCCATAAGAGATACGGAATAGGACACCACTTGTAAGTGCCACGGAAACTCTGGAACCGGTGCGAGGTAGATGGGCTGTGTAGCAGCACAACCATGCATAGAATTCCAATGCTTAAATCATTCACAAGCATGAGTTTTGAATTCAAATTCACTAATAATATGCAGTTTACACACAATGAAGAAACACTGAAAAATCGTATTTTTTAGCTAAAAGCTCCTGTACCAAACGCAGTATATGCTCGTCATAGGAGGCAAGGTCGTCAATACTTGAATGGTGGCCAATTGCTTCCATAATTGACTGTTGGACTTTAAATTTCTTCCAATAATTAAAACAGTCCATGCACACTTCATGTCATACACGGTTCTCACGGTCTCGCATTAAAGAAAGTCGGGTAACAGACACGTGCTGAAAAAGTTCGTGACTACTTCAATTCATCGCATCGAGCGACTCGTGATGAGGTGAGGGCACTGAAGTCGCGCCTGCGCTAAGTCGTTCTGTGCTTGTACAGACTGCTTGTATGACCGGTGCTGGTCACAAGATTTGGCTTTACTTTTCAACTTACTGTGATCACATCATCGGTAATTGTTACCTGAATCAACTATGCACAGAGTTTTCAATCAATGGCTAACTGGAGGGACGAAGAATTTATTGTATCGGGAATTGCAGAGGATGTCGTGTTGATGGTTGCTGGTTGATGGTTGCTGATGAGCCCATGTTGCCCAGTGTACAGTTCTGGGCGGTAGAGCTAGGGAGGTGTGGCGTGGTCAGGCTTCGTGCAGGAAGCAAGCCTTTGTGGCACTCAAGTTTCAGAGTGAAAATAAACTAGTCGAAAAACGTTTTAATGCTCATTGTCGTTTCATTGATCACTGTTAATTGTGGAAACAATTAATGAAAATTTAATTCATGTGCATGTTGGACGATTTCTTAGGATAATGTTAGCTAAAATTACCTCAATGTAGAGTTCATGCTGTTCCGTGTCTTCAAAGTTTTCCACATGAAGTTGCAAGCAACCCAAGTATTTTACCGACGAGTTTTTAATTATCGTTAACGTTTCGACGAAATGTACCTTGGATAATACTTGGTGAACAATACGGTCCGAAGTGGTTAAAAGAGTGGTGGTCTCAGAACTGTGTGGTGGAGGCAGGGTCTCAGAACTGTGTGGTGGAGGCAGGGTCAGGGCGTATCTGATCCTTGCCGTGCACTTGCAGGTGGGAGGCGTTGACGACGACGGAAGGCTCGGTGTTGCGGCGCTGAAGACGCGACTTGGACGTCTTCTTCAACATGGTCGCCTGCACGGGGAAAATTATCTCCTTATCCTCAATGTAATTAATGCATTCAAATGCGAATAAAAAATTATTGACTGTGGATTGACTTTGTGAGTTTTAGAACTGTGTGATATATATGTTTTTTTTTTTGCTTTGCATATTATTAGTCTATACAAAACGCTTGAATGGATATTATGATGTGGTACAAGTTGTGAATTGGCAAATTAAAAATCAGTGAAGCAATGGATAAAAAGTTAGTTGTGTAAATTGATAATAAACAATGATTTGGCTTCATTTTGGTAATCATTTGAGGAAGAAGCGAAACTCGCTCCGAAATTAACGCCTCATTGCGATGGTAACTCTATTTCTAGCACGTCAATATATCAGAAAAGCTTATTGGTCAATACAAGCACGAATATGAAGTAGCAACGCAACATATGGAAAGATGCAAAAGCTGTTTACATTTACATTAGGAAATGTTTATAGTCTTGAATCATACGTTTTGAACTTCACACTCAATTTATATACATAAAATTATCAGTTAACATAAATCACCGTTAGTGGACGATCATGGCAGAGCCAATATTCATTATTCATCAAAAATTGTTAATATCGTGTTATGAGGTTTCGTTCGAGCGGTGATCAAGTATAAGCGTTGTCGGCTCAATGACACAATAGCTGGGAACTTTATTTCAATTTAAACGCAATTCCTGCTTATTTAGGCAGAAATTGTATCAAGCATTGAACATTGCCGCGCGCTGTAAAATGTTTCGCGTCGCGCATGACAGTAAAGCAGCACATGAGTTCTTGAGCTCTGGATTGGTTGTTCGCTAGGCTGAAGCGCCTGAGTAAATGTCTGCATGTAGCTGATGAGGGACGTACACGGTACATTTTAGCTACCCCGAACACCTTACTTAAGTCTCGCATGTACAACTGGAAGAAATTGCTACAGCTTGAAAGAACAACTGATATACGTACGTAGTAGTAGTAAAACTGCAAAATGGAACAAAGTATAACAATAAGATGCCAGCTTGAAAAGACTCCCTCAAGTCCCAGGAATTTGTTCACGTGGAATGGCGAACTGCGCGTGCGTCTGACCATTGATTTTTTTATCGGGTTCATATTATTTGAAGAGAAATATTTTTCTATTATGTTTAATTGTAATTTGAACGTAATGAGAAAACTCTCGAAGTCTAGATATTAGATTACTTCCTTGAGGTGTTGAGAGAGAAGATAAGATGTCATTGGAAATGACGCTATCTAACGGGAAAAATATGTAACACTATTGAATGCAAATACAAAACATCTTAACTAATTTTACTACAGGTAGCATGGCACATTACAAAGTAACTGCCATTCATTGGAAATACATAAAAAATATTCAAGGCTTCTGTCAAAAAATCTTTGAGCCTGGAACACAACCTAGCTCTATATAAGACACATTATAAAAACATCAGTGAAAAAAGTTGCACCATGCAATATGAACAACGTGCAAATGACAGAAAATTATACAAAGACAAAGAGAAATCCTGTTGAAAAATTGGACGATGGCAAACGGGTGTTATTTTCACAGAGGAATGGAGGCAGGTTTGAAGGACAGGACCTATGCAGTTTCCATAAGCGTGCAGTGTTGAGGGATTTGTTGGGTAGCCAGCAGGAGTGTAGAGGTTAGTAGCACGGTTAACAAATAAGACATTCATTATAAATGAACCTCACGAGCGAGACAAGCGATCGACACCTTCAACTCCGCGCAAAAGTCGCTCTAAATTATTGATGTTCACTAATGTCGGAATCATGTCCGAACATTCAATAGCTTATAAACGTGAAATTTAATATATTATCAAGTCCGAAGATTCAATAGCTTATAAAGGTGAAATTCAATTTTTATAAGTATCCTGCTTTTCAACGGTATGGCACTAAATAATGTTGACCAACTGTTTTCTTGCACATAAAATCTTACGCAAATTGTTTATACAAGTAATCGTGAATAATTTTAGAGTTCGACACCAATCTCAAATGTCTCAATAAATATAACAAAATAAGTTATATAAATTCATCTGTTTTGCTTACTTCTTCGAAAATTTTCAACAATTTGAAACAATTTGAATATGAAGCTAAGTGTTACTTTCTCATTGATATTTATGCCATTTTATGATTAATGATAAAAGTGAGCGGGCTGAGAGGATCGCTGGCCTCGCTAGCACACCGAGATCTGCGCAGGACAACCAATGCAAGAGTGGCAGCAGTCGACGAGATCTTCAAGACTCTTGTTCCTTATCTCCGTTGCTGGCCGTCATTGAAGACTCAGTGTTTCTCCGCCGGATTTTGCTCTTCTTAAGCATGGTGGCCTAAAGGGGAGGAATGGAGAGGGCAAACTGTTCTAAAAGGGAACTCCGACACTCTCTTGCGACTGCTTTACCAACTAGTCCTTTGCTTCATGGAAGTTTATTTTATTGATGCTCGTTACAATCTGATTATAATAAAGAATATGGTCCGATATTTTAGCACGATGAACATTCATTTCGCATATGATCTCAGTACTTTATGCGATATCGAATAAAAAGGCTGGTAGTATGATAGTAGATAACATTTACTGGCTTACACTGTAAACATTACACTCTAGATTGTCAAGATGTTCTGAGATTGTCACATGAACATATATATAATTTAAAGATAAATTGATTAACACACTTTCTATATGAACTGCAGCTTATTGAATGAGCCTCTTATATATATTAGCGCGTAACTAATCACACGAAGAGATAAAATGCAAACTTGCCACGTATTCGAGTGGCAAGTTATCACATAAAACTACCGGGTAATCACTACAATATACAGCCTCTGAATTGTTCCACAAGACGAATGACACTCTTAAGTCAAGAGGAGTGACACTCTTAAGTCAAGACGAATGACGCTCTTAAGTCAAGAGGAGAGTCAGTGCTCGGTGGGTACAGCAACAACTGATACGAGGGTTACGTTCGCCACCACAAAACAAAATCATATGGAGGGTTGAGCCAAGCTACACACATAAGTGAGACCGCTGCTACATTCTTCATAAAGAGTTCAAATAAAGGGTGCAATTAGGGATTGTTATAATTCAAAGCGCAGATACACACGATATATTCCCTGCTAATGATAACGATCTTTGGAAGGCAAGACATGAATAGATTGAAAGCACGCCATGTACATTTCACGTATACGCTCAAAAGTCAACTGATTAGCAACTTTTTTCTCAAACTTGACGCAGTTAAGGAAACTAAAAATATTTAAAGCAAGGGTTCGACTAACTTAAGTAATTTTGCACAAAACTACCGGTTTAAAGAGCAAACGTTAAAGTTTACACTGTGAATAGATGCACAATTCGGTACTGGAATTTAGTATCTAAGCTAACTAGCCGCAAACAAGACTAGGCATCATATTCCTCGCATCGAATCTGTGCAGAAATAAAAAGGAGCGTAACTTTTAACTAAACAACGAGGAAAACTTAAGTGACAATTCAGCCATAAATTTAAACTCAAACCTTAAGGGCGGACTTAAGGACGACGACCTCGCCGCTGTTCTGGATCCAGGGCTCGCCGTCCACCTGCACCGGGATCTCGGAGTTGAGTTTGATGCGAATGTGACCTGAGGAGGGCAAGGAGCTGCTAAGGGGCCAAAACTATCAAGTATCAACAATATCATGAGTTCAGAACTAATCACTGTCATCTTTTCAGAACACACACTAATCGTAGACGAGAAATCGGCTGCTATGTGTACTTAATAAGGGTTTTGAAAGTACAGGAACAGGCCCGCTAACGCACAGCGGAGTTAATGAATTCAACTCAATGTTTTACTAGAACCTCGTATCAGAGCTTAGCTTGGTTCTCCCTTGTAGCACGGTGCTTGAAAATTGGTTTCATTTGATTGGGCCTGACGATTCACACCTCTATTAGCACAAGTCATGTTCATAAACACAGAAAAAATGTTAAGTTATAATTATTTCCACACTAAAACCGAACTTCTACAACGTTTAGAACTAATATATTGCGTTCAGTAAGATGTTGAATTTCGTTGAGATATCATATGAAGCTTTGAGGTAATCACCTCAAGCTTTTCTGATGTAAAGTCTCTATGCATGATTTGTGACAGAAACTTAGCTGAACATAGCGTAAATAATTCCACGATGAAGTTCATGTAAACTAACCTCCCTGAGCAATACGCATTGCTGACCGGAAACCGCTCTGGATCTGCCCAAGATGAACGACCCCGCTGACGCCGACGACCTCGAGGGCGCCGTCCCAGTGATTAGGCTTATTGAAGTGGTCTTCTTTTTCAGGTCCCCATGGGTTGGCTCCGGAGCCCCACGATAATATGTTAAGAATAATGATGCCTTCGAGAGGAGGCAGCTCTACAAGCTTGCCGTCCACCTCAAGACGGATGAGCCGGTGAAGGTCCTTGCATAACTTGCGAGACACCATCTTACGGAGACCCATCTTGACATAGACGCCTTTGTTGTGCAGTCTGCCCAGGCAATCAATTCAAGCTGATTTGTAATGGAAATGAAGTTAAAACAGAATCCCTTACAGACATTTATACAATTTTGGAGTTTTTTGTCAGTTGATTTAAAGAAAATATATAAAATCATTTTATCGTCAGAGATGTGTACCTGCTATTAAATTTATTGGGGTTTTCTTCACGTGCGTTGTGGAAGTCAAGACACAACTCAGCTTCAATTCCAATTCCAAAGTAGTTATTCATCACAAATATCTGCGTATTGTCTTCGCTTGTTGCCCCACCAGCTAAAATTGGACAAACATTCAAGTCAGACACATGCATTGACACACTTGAAAGGAATGATTTTTCATAACAAAAATGACAAAATTATCTACAATTTAAAACTTTAAAAAATTTTTCCTTTATCATATTGATTATATTGATTTATCTTAGTTATTTAGAAGCTTATAAAATGTTGTAGCTAGGCAAGTAAGAGCCAGTAGGCTGCAACTCTGCAAGACGAGCGTAATCATACCTCAAGCTTGGTCAGATAAGCTCGCTGCCTTTACCTCCACTAGCGTTTGTGACGGGCTGCTTGTCGTCGGACTTCTCATCGATGTGGAACACAACCGTCCATCGGTCCAGACGGATCTCTTCAGCATCAATGACGTCCTTGAGTAAGTTGATGGGATCTTCTCCCCCAGTGTACCCAGGACCCCACCTCAACACCCGGGCCAGATCGTTGCCCGTGCCCAGGGGCACGATGGCGCAAGCAGGACTCTCGCACTCTGAGTCCTGGCCGACGTTGTCGAGGCACTGCAGCACCCAGCCGATGGTGCCGTCACCCCCGCAGACCAGGATTTTATAGCGGGGCACGTGTCGGAACACGTACAGTCTGGGGACAAGATATGAGATGAGATCAAGGTGCAAGATCGACCGGATGGAGGAGCAAGAAAAGGCGTGAGGCAAAACTCCACCAGTTTGAGGAGCATGATAAGGCGTGAGGCATAACTGGACCAGCTTGAGGAGCATGATAAGGCGTGAGGCATAACTGGACCAGCTTGAGGAGCATGATAAGGCGTGAGGCATAACTGGACAAGCTTGAGGAGCATGATAAGGCGTGAGGCAGAACTCCACCAGTTTGAGGTGCAAGATAAGGCGTGAGGCCAAATCGTCTTTCAAGTTGAAAAAAATGTGTGAGGGAGAACTTGAAATATAGGAGAGGTAAGAAAATACACATGGCGGAACTTTTTCATGGGAAGAGAAATCCCACGATACCTAACATATGCAGTTTTGAATGTCTCGAGATGAACGAAAAATAACACGGCTGACCTGAAAATTCATAAATGAAAGTCTGAATTAAATTTCATCATCTTTTCTACAAGTCAGTAGTAAAGAAAATCGATGCTCAACTAATTTAGTTGAATTACACTCAACATTCATGGAGAAACCGCTTCAACTACGGCCTCGGTGTTCGAGGGTGAGAGATCAGTCATAACACCGAAAATTGCAGGGTGGCGCAGTGGTTAGAGGTCAGAGGACCAAGATTGGAGAGCAGAGAGTTGTGGGTTCGATTACAGCTCCCAGCAACGGTCCTGGTTGAATTTCACAGAGCGGCCGGCGCTCAAGCATAGCAAAATTGGAGCAGTGAGTTGGGTGTTCCGAGACCAGCAATAAGCTGTGAAAAAAATCGGCTAAAGGTCTAGCGGCCTAATAAACGCTGATATAACTATTGCCAGCACATAACATCGGAAGTAACATGGCACCAACCCAGGCAGCGGCCCGCCGTTCTCGAGGTCGAAGACTTGGTAAGGGTTCAGGAGCTTCCTGAAGGAGGAGACCAACTCAAGTCCCTGACATCCTCCTGACTTGACGTTCACGAAGACCAGGAGAGGCTGGACTCCTTCAGGCACAAGCTGGGGTTGTATGTTGGGCAGCATCATCACTGCACAAAATGAATTCAATTTAATTATTCTTCCCAAATCACTAAGAAGATTGTGATTATTTCCGTTCATGATTATTAATGTGATACCACCAATAAGAGTAAATTGAACAAACTAATTAATCACAAACACTTAAAGTTGAAGCTTCAGACCAATGAGTAGCCTAAAAAAGATTCTTCGATTGATTACTTGGAATAAATGGGAAGGTATCTGGCAAACGTAAAAAATAAACAATCTTTCTCACGTGTAATCCTACCACGGCTCGAATAACTAAGAAAACGTAAATTTTACTTATTTTTGTACAAAATATAAGAGCTTTTCAGAACAGGTAAGCCTCTAGCTCTCACCAAGTAGCGTCTTATCTTCATAGCTGGACTCCCGGAGCGTGTAGAAAGCTCGCACGGCCACCTCAGAGTCCATGTAAGTGATCACCATGGAGCCGTACTCGTAGTAGATCGGCCCAATGCTCTCAAACTTCGCAACTGCAATACGTGAAGGAAAAAAATATTTTAAAATTGGTTCATATTCGCAAGGCAAAATAAATGAAAGATAAAAGTTCAAGTTTTCAGATACCACGGAATGGAAAAAGTAAAATTTATGTACAAATAAATTGTTGAATTTGTCGCTCGAAGTGCTTGGATGATATGTATATGATTAGGGTTTTACCAAGGCCTCATGAGCAAAAATATCAGCCAAGGAACATTTTGAATGACCAATTTGAGGAAGCCAATTTGACTAAAGGAAAAGTGTCCGCGCTTTTGATGTGCATGGCAAGCGCTGCCGCCGTACTTGGAGCGAGGAAGTCCATGAGGATGATCTCGTATTGTCGCTGCGAGAGGTTGGGTGGCAGGTTGCCGACGAAGAGCGCGACGCTGGAGCCGTGCGGGTCCTTCTTCTGCTGGAGGTAGAAGCGCGTCATCTCCATCTGCCTGATGCTGTCCCGCCCCACGGCCTTGAGCAACTCCCACGGCTGCTCTCCAGGGTCCATATGTCGCTCTGACACTGCACGCAAAACTCTGCTGTAGGCCGTTCTAAACTCTGATTTATTTCTATATTAAATAAGATTTGCTTTAAGGCTAGGTTTAACAAATATAACTTAACATAAAGAATTTAACTTAAAATACTCTTCAAGTCTCAATTAAAAGATTTGTTGATACTGGTGCAGTTGTGACAATTCATAAGTAAAATTGTAGTCAATAAACATATTTCCCGACACTTTCATAGATATTAAGATAATTTACAAATATTTTATACTAATATTGTTTTCATCACAAAAGATTTACCGAAGAACACGTCTACACGTCACTATGCCAATCATATGCTACAAAGGTATAAAAATACAAGAATTTCCAGCCCAGGCCCTCGAGAATTACCTCCCTTATCGAGGATGACCTCCATGAGGCTGTAGTCTTCAGGCTTGGCGTCGGGCAAACCGAAGCGTTCGAGCGACTGTTTGATGACGTCGTCCACCGTCGTCTCGGACGTGACGCTCAGCACCGTCAGGTCTGACGTGGCCGTGGCGCCCAGCTTCCCGGGGTACACGTGGATCTTGCCACTCGGATTATCTTTTTCTCTGTACAACCAGCGAGTTATGTTCCAAACACCAAATCTCACATTTTTCATCCATATCGTTAACTTTGCATAAATAAGAAGACAAACTCACGTCAAATCCATAGTTGACAGCAAATTAAATCTTTGCATAATTTCCCACGTTGTACGAGAACGTCCACCAATGAATTGAGGTGGGTTGAAATCAGGGTTTTACAGGGTTTAATTCATTTACACTACTAAATACTTTTATTCGTAAGTTTCGCAACACCATCGCATAGGAGAAATAGTTGCATACCTAAAGCGGAGGAAAACAGCAGGTCGCTTGCCATCTCTTCGCGTGAGTTTGGCGATGGGCAGCGGATCTTGTATCTCGACCTCCTCGGCGCTGTAGGCGTCGCTCAGGTAGCAGTCGCGGCTCTCTCTGCGGCATAGGGAGGGTCAGGGTAATAGGGATACTTGCGAGCCCATGTCAATTACCTCCATACATCCTACCTCATGCTTCCTTCTGGTCACAGCTTTAATCAGTCAAACCATAGTAATTTAAAAACATGTTTTAGACGTGAGTAGTAAATTGCGGACATGACCGAGTCACCTTGGTATGTGGAAGGCGCGCAGGGCCATTGTCAGGAACTCTGCGGTTGTTGCGGTCCGCGATATGTTGATGGTGCGGAACATGCGTCGCCTTAACGAACTGTTGCCGTCAAACACCTTCACCACTTCTGGGGCGAGACAGATCATCGTAAGGCATGAGACTTTAGGGTGAGACAGACCCATGCAAGGCATGAGACTTTAGGGTGAGACAGACCCATGCAAGGCATGAGACTTTAGGTGAGACAGACCAATGCAATGCATGAGACTTTAGGGTTAGACAGACCAATGCAAGGCATGAGACTTTTTTGGTGAGACAGATCAAAGTAAGACATGAAACTTTTGGAGTGAGACAGACCCAAGACATGAAATTTTTGGGGCGAGAAAGAACTACGTATGGGATGAGACTTTCAAAATATACCTCATTGCAATTAGTATTGACAGAAAGCACATTGTCAATAGACCAATTTTTGAGGAACGACCTAGTCTGCCCATGTAGCTTGAAGTTTGACCTACTTTTACTAGGTAGCAACGTTAAATGAGCAGCAGCGCAATGAATAAAGCACAAGTCAAAGATTGTGTCCTATTTTTTCGAGATTATGATGTATATGTGAGAGGCTAACGTTTTAGAGCAAAAACCTGTCAGCCACAGAAAATCTGTCAAAAAATGTGTTTGAGAGAAAATCAACGTACCATATTTCAAAATAATTTGAAGGGAGTTATAACTTGATTTACCTTGGAAAAATGGCAATAATTATAGAAAAAACGAAGACCACCAGAAGTTTTTCTTCAGAATTGAGACAAAATTATTACGTAAGCAATCGAAATGTAGACTAAGGAAGGATTCCGAGTTTTGAATTGGTGACATTAAATAAGGTGACAAACCTTCTTCTCTCTCTTCCTTGTCTTTATTTTTTTCTTTAGCAGGCGGGCCTTCAGACGATTCTCTTTTGCAGTCGCCGCAGCTGAAGTCCTCTGAAGTGCTTCTTGCTGCACAGGTCAGTCTTCTTCACAATGCACCCAAAGCTTATATAATTCGGAAGCTAAATTTCAGCATTTCATATTCAATATTCATGATATTAATTATCTATTTGAATTTTCATAATGAAATAAACCTCTACCGCCTGACACGAGTAACCGGAGCACTATTGTCACAAGCCTACCCAAAAAGGATACGTTCTTGTGAGCGCAATATGACTTGCACTGATGGTTGCCGCCACGTACGACAACTATAAAATGTTCTCTGTTGCGTACAAACGTCCTCAGGTTGCTACACTCAATAGTTTACGTATATTTTAAGTTGAAAGTTGAGATGTTCCCGGAAGGTGACATACGGCGGTAGAGAGTTAAATACATGAGAGCAAGTCACGTGATAGCCTTAAAATGAATAAAGCGTTGAGGTAGAAAATAGCTCACGTGAGAGTGCATCCTTGCGCCTCATCTGCAGTCCAATGATGGCCTCCATGGGCACCTCCGTCCGTGGAATGCTCACTGCAAGCAAACTCACTCATTTAAATATACGTTTAATAACTTCCTATAACATCAACGAAGATATCGCTTATCTTTCTGTCATGGTTCACGAGCATGCTTCATGGAAGTCTTTCTCAGGTGAGGTCATCTGATAATTAGCATGTTGTTGTGGTACAAACATGACTCGTGCATCGCAATTTAACGGGGCTGCAGGCACCTGAGGCAGGAGGATCACCTGAGGCAGGAGGCAGGAGGATGTGCTCGAACATGCCGAAGTTGCAGGCGGGCGTGACTTTGTCGGTACAGGTGGCGTGCACCGTCAGCCCGCACCACTCGCACCGCAGCCCAGCTAGGCACTCGCTCGTCCAGCACGTCTTCTTGTCAACCTGGTCAGCAACATCGTCACTTACTTGACGTATGACCAGCAACATCGTCACTTACTGGACGTCTGACCAGCAACATCGTCACTTACTGGACGTTGGCAGTAGTACTGATACACTGCAACAGAGAGGGGCAGTAGTACTGATACACTGCAACAGAGAGGGGCAGTAGTACTGCAAACTGCAGCATATAACCAGCAGCAGTACTGCAAACTGCATCACGGAGCGCTCTACCTTCCTTATTTTTTATCAGTAAAAGCAAGACTTTATCTGGCCCCAGATGGGCTCAGATGTGTTGTGAGGGCGACGTTCACCTTCACATCTGATGGCCCAGGCGTCCTCCAGCTTCTTGCGGCACACGTTGCAGTGCTTGCGGCGGTGGTGGCCTGGTTCTGACCAGCAGTGAGCTGACGGCGTCTGTAATGTCAAACACAACACTTATACAGCTGCAGCAAACAGAGTAGTAGTAGACATTCAACACAATTATTCATAGTTCTTTAATACTTGCACTAGTCTTTATTATATTAGTTGATAATAATATCGAAAAGTCTAAGGTAAATTACAGTTGCATTTCAGTGCATCGACAGTTCATCTATTTCTGTTATGTCTCCCTTCAACATCGCTTCAAAATTAATAAAAACACAAACTTTTTACAAAAAAATCGAATCCTTATTATAGAATATAATAAGCGTTATACAATACAATCGAAAACACAGCCGATGTTGTATCAATCAGCTACCTCGTTTTTGTCTGACAAACTGGAGAAACCACTGAGCAATTGAAGGTTGAAAATACAAGGAAATATTGCATACCTTGACGAGCGTGGGGGCTATACTGGAACATGGCGACACGACAGTCCGCATGCACTTGTCGTGCACCACGAAGTTACATACTGCACGGTAAACAAACAGCATTAATGCGACTCACATCGCCGTATTATAATGAAAGATTTTTTACAAGAAACACAACAATGTAACAGGCATTGATGATTCATGGAAATTTAAGGTAGCCTAGCCAGTACAAAAATTAAATCTCGTTTGTCTGCAAAAACCTAATAACGATTCTGGGCTCGGATGGCAAATTGCTTTTGAGCTCGAATGTTGTGTGTGAAGCTTCAACGTTATGCCAGCAACACACGTGTAGTGCCAGCAACACACGTGTAGTGCCAGCAACACACGTGTAGTGCCAGCAACACACGTGTAGTGCCAGCAACACACGTGTAGTGCCAGCAGTATCCACTCTCTGTACCCAGAAGCTCCGTGCCACAGAAGGCAGCGCGGCTCACGCGACAATAGCGCTACAAGCTGCGTGGCGCTGTCCCTCCATGGCACCTCCGTCTGGCACGCCAGCACTTACAGGGAGTGGAGTGATGTGGCTTCCTAAAATAGTACGAGCTTCCAAAATAATCTATTTTTAGTCGGTACGATTAGTGAAATTCTCAATTAGCTATAAGTTAGTTAAATTCTTAATTAATAATTACAATGACGATCGAATCACTTTGCAGTTCGTTATCCGCGTTAAGTTGCACAACAGTGATTTGCCGACTGAGCATGAAAACTCTAATGATTGGCTCTTGAATTTTTTCGATACCCGTGTAATAAAACTAAGAGTGTAATATGAATCGCTTTGTATGATTCAAAGGCCTGAGGCCAGTGTAAGATAAAACGATGCAAGGACTGTTGATTTAAAAAGTTATAGAAAAGTTATACAAAATATAATAAAAATAATAATAAAAATATAAAGGTATAAAAAATTATAAAAAATTAAAAAGCGATAAAACAGTTATAAAATAACTATCATACGTGTTATATACAAAATGATCTTCTGCTGAAACTCCTCGTGTGAACATGCGACTCCATTAAAGATTGTGTGAACTTAGAATCAATTCATCATCTAGAATATATCTATATTGCTTTTAAATCATTTTTTCTTCTTTCTATGAGAATATCAATTCATTTTGATCAAGCTTCCCGTGGATGAGCGATCCACATGTAATGCGCACATGAAATTAAATTCAAGTCCGCATCTCTAGTTGCATTGTACGTCATTTGCTAGAATTGAATAATACAAATTAAGTTAATTATGAAGACGAAGTTCAAACAAATTAATAGAGGTTCGCTTGAACCGCTGTTTGTACTACAGCGATACTGCGCTGAAATTTCGAACTGTAAGTCGATGAGATAATCTTTATAAAAGCAATAAAGCATAATATGAATATTTATATTTAGCATAATCATGTTATTTAGAAGCAGTCCTTCAATGGGTGCCTCATGGTCCAGCACTATAACCACAGTGTACGTAAGCAATAAGCATTGACAAACTTTCGGTTCAGGGAACTGGCTTAATTGATTGAACTTCTTAACGAGCGATGTTCCTTACTGAACATATATGTGTCAGTCGACTGATTCACGCACTTAAATGTGCTTCATTTACATTAAACTAGATTTATTTGGTTACAATTTGATAGAACATTGTTTAACTACGACATTGGTTGCATGTGCTCCATCATGAAGTGGATTTGAGGAGAACCAAATCCCGCGTTTGTTCGCGGCTTGGTTGTGAGTAAGCAGACATTGTGAACTATATATAAATACATATATAGATTATGGAGTCTAAATAATGTCAGCCTGTTGCGACAGCCGAGACGGTGCCCTAACTGTTAACCTAACTGATGTACTCGATGATTTAGCGTTGAATAATGTGAATAGACGAGTGAATAATGTAATAAGGTGAGTTCATATTGCCAGTGATGAAATTCGAACGCAGGGTAATGCAACCAGAGCTGCCATAACGCTGAGTCGTGCTGTATACTTAGATGTCGAAATAAGAACCGAGAGTAAACTGCGAGAATTTATAGCAGTAATTTCGCTTCCTGCCAGATGCAAAATAGACACGAAGATCAAATAGTGTGACTCAACTCGCCGCGAACATATAATTTATTAAGAACGGAGATTTACGTTGAGAAGATCAGAGAAAAACGTGCGAGCCAACAGTGGGAGGCATCCGCCCGAGATGTGGCGTGAGCTTCACCTTCTCATCAGCCATTTCTCTTCATTATTCTTCTTAGCTCTCAGCTTCAAGAAACATGAAAATAAAACTAATCACATAAATTGCATAATCACCTTGTTGCAAAAGACTGTTCTTTATAAAAGTTTAAGAAGTAAACATCCAAACAGCACAATGATAGCAATGCAAGGTGCAGGATCTGGAGAGAGGAGTCTTCCCCTCTCCAGCAAACCGTGGACTCGACCGATCGATGCTGATGTCCTGTCAGAGAGCCAGGGTGAGAGCGCGAGAGCTTCAGAAGAGAGAACAAAGCTGAAATTTTGCCAAAACTATGCAAATTAATCTAATTTCTGGTAAAAATCAAAATTACCTGATTTTAACAATATCATACTCTGTCCGCAATTTCGGAAGTAAGTTGCGGACAAAGAATGTAAATCACAGGACAGGAACAAGGTACACTTAATCACACTTACGGAGCAAGCTATCCTGTTGGGACAAGCGCTCAGGTATAACCGACAAGAACATATATTATAATAATTTTCTTCGATATGTTCATATATACGTCCGATGCATCTATAACATTTGGGCAGAGAGAAATTATTTCGCCGTAGTTGGAAGTTCATTAAAGAAAAAAATCGAGTGGACCAGATCGAAATCGAGAGATTTTTGATGCACTGGCGCTCAAGTACATGTGCAGTGGCTGCTCTAGAAGAGAAGACTTCTCACCAGAGACTTTAGACATTAGATCTGAGTTAAGCCCCTGAGATGATTTTTTTATTATGAACGACATTTAATGCTCATATACCGACGGTTCTCTAACTCGTGTAACACTTTTTCCTGGAATATTGAAAAGTCCATACAAATTTCGAACTCGGAATATCAATTTATAAATAAATAAGACTCCAGGGGAATTTTTATCTTCTAAATTGTGAAGATCAGATAATTACTGCTCTATTTTTTAAATTATGAAACCTTTAAGCGATAGTTGCACCACTGATCACCAACGTCTTACCGTAAGTGGGGTTCCATCGAAACGGAAGATTTTCGTGGAAGATTACGTGGAAGATTTTCGACCTTAATCACGCAAGATTTGGAACAAAAGTTTTAAATGTAAGCATACCAGGGGCTAATTTGTTAAAGTAATCGGTATGTTGAAGTCGAAGCGACAGATTCTTAAATGGCAGGAACGCGTCACTGTCAACATCGCGGACAGACCGTCAGACGTGGGCGTGAGGCAGTGACAGGAGACAAGGCCGTGCAGCAGTGACAGGAGACAAGGACGTGCAGCAGTGACAGGAGACAAGGACGTGTAGCAGTGACAGGAGACAAGGCCGTGCAGCAGTGACAGGAGACAAGGACGTGCAGCAGTGACAGGAGACAAGGCCGTGTAGCAGTGACAGGAGACAAGGACATGCAGCAGTGACAGGAGACAAGGCCGTGTAGCAGTGACAGGAGACAAGGACATGCAGCAGTGACAGGAGACAAGGACGTGCAGCAGTGACAGGAGACAAGGACGTGTAGCAGTGACAGGAGACAAGGACGTGTAGCAGTGACAGGAGACAAGGACGTGTAGCAGTGACAGGAGACAAGGCCGTGCAGCAGTGACAGGAAGCAATGCCTGAGAGTCTGCCTTGCTTGGACGAGGAACACGACGTGCCACGTGGCATGTGGCAAGCGACGCGTGGCACGCGCCGTATGTGGGAGCGCCGTAACATTATTTTCAAGCGCCGCATATGGGATAATAATGACATCGTTACGATATGCAGGTACGCAACAACTGTCAAGAGAAATTATTTGCACAGAAAATTCCATTGAAAAATTACGGCGTACGATGATACTTGTTTGGAATGAACTAGAGCTTGCAATGAAGTATGCAGCATCACGAGCTCACCTAGACTCCGTATAAAATTTATCAAACAATAACGTCTCGGGGCCTCATTCCTGTCTCATATTTGAAAACAATTTGTCCTGCTAAATCTAAACCAACCGCCTATACTAAATATTAAATATTACTACATTTATCAATAAAATTGTTCGAGCGTAACTCGTTGACAAATCTGCAGTCACCACCACCAACACTAGTGCCTGCAAACCGGAAATTTTTCCCTCAGAAAGTGCAACGTGTACCTTGAGTTTCAGAAAAATCTGTTGAAATTAAATTAAGATCGAGTTGTAATGTCGAACGCGATGAAAATAAAATTTTTCAAGATTTATTGCGATTAAAAATTATGTCGATCCACATCAGAATTTATGCTTCTCAATGTAAGTAATGAGTGAACGAGTGCTGTACATGGAGCTTGAGCGAAGCAGCTGAAATCTGTCAATTAAATCGTCTGTACTAAACAACCCACCTATCACAACCACTGCAGCCGTCTTGCTGCGTCATGCCTATAAGCTTGTATTATCTCAAGCCGTCTTGCTGCGTCATGCCTATAGGCTTGTATTAACTCAAGCCGTCTTGCTGCGTCATGCCTATAAGCTTGTATTAACCCAAGCCGTCTTGCTGCGTCATGCCTATAAGCTTGTATTAACTCAAGCCGTCTTGCTGCGTCATGCCTATAAGCTTGTATTAACCCAAGCCGTCTTGCTGCGTCATGCCTATAAGCTTGTATAAACTCAAGCCGTCTTGCTGCGTCATGCCTATAAGCTTGTATAAACTCAAGCCATCTTGCTGCGTCATGCCTATAAGCTTGTATTAACGCAAGCCGTCTTGCTGCGTCATGCCTATAAGCTTGTATTAACTCAAGCCGTCTTGCTGCGTCATGCCTATAAGCCTGTATAAACTCAAGCCGTCTTGCTGCGTCATGCCTATAACTCAAGCCGTCTTGCTGCGTCATGCCTATAAGCTTGTATAAACTCAAGCCGTCTTGCTGCGTCATGCCTATA